TTAAGGCTATTATTTAAATCAAAGCAAGGAAAACATAAGCATGCTTATTTCACAAAGGAAGATTCTCTGAAATTAATAGCTCAAAGCAAAACTACTGTCAGTTTCTGAGGTGGACCAAAGAGGTATTACTTTAGAAGGCTTAAGTTAGAGTGGATATTTTCATATAGTGTGCTGGGTATTATTAACAGGATCTACTGCCAAGAGATTCATATCACACGGGAAACCAGCATATCAAGATGTTATCTGGAAAATTATTTAAGTCCAGTCTCTGAAAGAAGGAAATTAACTCTTTAGAAAACAGCTGACTTTCGGGACAGTGATTAAGTATAAACTAAGAGTGGAGAAGGAAAATAGTGTCTGCTTTAGAAGATGGCTGTTTTAAAATGAAAAGGTAATGTGCTGTCCTCAATTTTTAAATATTTTCCATGATCTTTGCATTTATACTTTAAGAATAATGTGGATCATAGAGATGAGGAAGAGGAAAAAGAAGTGTTTGCAGCTAAACACGAGGTCAGGCTTGGCTTTTAAACCCGAACCTATGTTCCCACTCGTAGCAGAGTGTGATGAGAGGGCAAGTTCGTGGCTTTTGTGGGAGTCTGCTTCTCTTCTGGCGTATCTTTCTCTTTCTCTTCTTGCAAGCTTCTCAAAGCCCCCTCCCAGACTCTGCCTCCACATAATTCCTTTCCACATTCTTTCCTTCACTTTCTATACTCTGACCCTGGAACATGATCTTCCCTCAACCTCCTTGCTCCTTCATCCGTGCAGAGATGGAGTGTGCTGGCTGATTGATGAATCTGAACATAACTGGTTGTCCTCTGCCCTGCATGGCCATTCTTCCTCTTGGGATGTGCCTGTCTCCAAATAGCACCACTAGCACCCTACGCCTCCACACCACCATGCTGAATAGCGGAGTATAAGTGGTGCTGTGCTGCCCAGAGGAAAATCTCCTTACATGGAAACCAAGGGTGGAAAAGTTACTTCCTGTAACAAGAAACAACCTGATGAGTTCCACTTGCCTCGTTCTGGAGTTTGCACTAGGCTCTCACGCTAAGCTACTCCATTATCTGCAACTGAGGTTTTGTTCTGGTTTCCCATCTACCATTCCTTTATTTTCTCTCTCAAATTCTTCAGAGCTCAGGAACTCAAGAAAAGAATATGCAGTGTTCCTTTGGAAACCCAACATTTGGCAGGGCGGCATTGTATAGAGACACTGAAAAAATCAAAACCAGAAGAGCAGAGTTTGGATAGTAAGAGACACGTGTGATTAGGCGTCTTGTAAACCACGGGGTGCAGCAGAGGCCGGGGCATTTTACCTTCGATTGTATGTGGAGGTTTGTATTAGGCCAGGTGGGTTTTTACAGGAGTGACGTTGGTCTGGGTAAGAGGTTCTAAAGCAGCCTGTGAGCATATTGAATCTAGAGGATCGTTGTGGCTTATGGTGTTCTTCCTCAGAGAATGACTTCTGTGGAGTCCTACCTGGTTTCCTTAGACCTTTGGAGAGGCTTGGATGGGGTGGGGGCATCTTAAGTGAAAGGCGCAGGGACTTCAGAAGAGATATGGGGTGCCTCTCACAGGCATGATGCAATTCCTTCAGGGACTCAGGAGTTTAACTGGCTCAATGCCAAGAGTCTAAGTGGCTCAGCGTTCATAATGAGACACTCACAAGATTATCACAGCATTTGCACCACCTGTTTTGAAATCAGTCCAACCCCCAGCCATGAGAGCAGCTGTCCAAGAAAAGTTATGTTCTTAGAACACAGTACCTAGTGCGCCCAAAAGCTGTGGAAGGTACTCAGTGGTAACTGAGGCAAGGAAAGCCGATGGGGAAAATCCTTACATTAGCTTTCCCCTAATGCCTGTCAGTCAACACCCACTTTCTGGAATGTACTACCCATGATCTTAAACCCAACTGGCAGAAATTCCCTCCACACTCCCCATTGACTGCAAGAGGCCCTAGAAAGTGGGTGCAACATGGCATAAATTAAATGTGGGCAGCAGCCTGTGGGCCCCTGTCCATCAACAGCAACACAGCAGTTTCACAGGGAAAGGCCCAGCGCCCGCAGGTGCTTGGCAGGGCTGGCGGCCTCAAGATGCCACTGCTGCAGTTTCCAGGGGAAAAGCAGACCTCACAGGCCTTTTAGGTGTAGCTGGGAAAAATAATAGGTACTGATTTTCACCTATTTTCAAGGCAGCTGGGTTCCAACATACTAGACTACTTCTAAGGTTCTAGCTTCTAACTGGTAGCGCCAGGCCACTGTGGCCCTTGCTGTATCAGCCACCCCAAATTCCATTCTGCATTCAGGCGCAAGGAGGGAACCATGAAGGGAACCTGGATCCAAGTGGTTCATCTATAGTTGATTCTGGACTGCTTAAATCTATGTAGATAGATTTCAGATGCCTCCTCCATCCCTAGGAGGTAACTTTCTTAGGCCTAAATATCCATTGTGGCTCAGGCCTGAAAACGCCTGTATACAGGGATGTGGGCTCCCTAGAGGGAGCCCTCACTCAACAGTCCCAGGTACCAGAAACTTAGCATGTTGGAAAAGGAAATGTAAATTAAGGTGTCTTGCAATGGTGGTCTTTCTCCCAGGAATGATCAGTGTATACGGCCAAAATTAAGCCCTTTTTGAGTGTCCTTCCAATAGAAATTAGGATCACAAGTTGTGAGTTACAGAACACTGGGGCATCTTTGGGCAGCTGAAACCAAGATTTTTTTTTTCCAGATACTATTGAGGTTCTACTATGGTCTTTGGCAGCACTAGGTACTGAGTTGTGGGAGCAGCGTTGTATGGGATGACTGCTTTAGTACCTAGGAATTAGCTTGTTTCAAAACAAGTGTGGTTGTGGGGCCAAGGCTATAATTTTGCGGTTTCTTCTTCTAACTCTAAAGTGAGCACATCAGAGACTCAGCCTCGAACCTAGTTCCTTCTGGAGCACGGCAGGAACAATCACCCTCTTAAAGACAATTCCAGCTACAGCCTCTTGAAAAGAATCTCGACTGGACCAAGGCATCAAGAACTCCTCTGGCCAAGGCTGATCTGAATGAGAAATCTGGCAGTATAGTTTTGGGATTTATTTTTCTTAGTTTTTTACTTGGAACTCAGGTGGACAAGATAATTTGATTTGCTTTAGTTCCTTTATACTTTAATGCCTTTAGATTTAATCCAAAGGGACTTAATCTTTGATTTTTTTTTCTCTAAAAGTTGAATAATAGAAGTTTAACTACCATTCAAATTTGGGTATCATTATGTTGCTAGCATTTTATTCCTGGACTTTCACACATTTTCTTATGGGAATGTTCTGTTGGGATTTTATCTCAATGCAAGGCCTCTGATATGCTATATGGGATGATGAGGTAGGAGATAATTAGGGATGGGAAAAATGTTCAGTCTTTGGTACAGAGTAGCCTTTGAATTCATTTACTTATTAGTACACTGCTGGATCCAGAGCCTTCTTAGACCAAATGTTCACTGACAGCCCCAGGGTGTCACATCTGCAAAGGCTGGTGCTGGGAAGTGGCCTCAAAGGTGAGAGGAAGTCTGCCTTCTGGAACAGCTGCTCTCCTCCTCCAGGCCATCAGTCACAGCCCTGGTTGAGCAATGGGGCCAATGTTTCAAGAGAACTTCAACTGGGGGCGTGAAAGGGGAACACTCTTCCCTAAGACTTCCCTAGTTTCAATCTCCAGGGCAAGAAACACCCTCTGGCCTTTGTACTTCCACTGGCCCTGCTGTAGTCGTCTCTGATTCTGATGAGTAAATTTTGAGTCATTAAGTCTACTTGGCTCAGCCCACCCCTTACTCGTGGAATTTGCTCCATTTATATTTTTCCACTCCTCTAAGAGCTCTGCCCCTTTTGGGGTGGGTCAAGGTGACCGGTGGATGGATTAAGTCTGCCTCATTCCAGAATGCACTTCTAGCAGGTTCACTGGGCTAAACAGCTAGAAAGCCATGGTTCCAAGCTGGGTTCCATCAGTGATATGGATTTCACCTACTCTTTAATTTCTTAAATGGTTCAAAACTCTGGCCAGGGAAAAGATGCTATTTATTGGCCTTCCTCTAAAACCTCGATACCCACTACTTATACTTCTATTGTTCTTAAAGCCCTTACAGTCTAACCTCAGACCTTTGGTAACTTAAGTCAATCTGGGTAGGGCAAGATGCTGGGACACCCACAGGTGAAGAACACTCAAGTGGGGGCCTCCTCCTTCTCTCACTGTGACACAACCTCCTTCTGTTCCTTTAACACACCAGGCTTATTTGTGCCAGGTGGCCTTCTCTCCCCAGAAACCATCCTTCTCCCTTTTCAGACTACCCTTTCAAAGCTCGGTGAAATCCCACGTTTCTCATCCTGTCTCCTTTGAACTCTTGCAGCCATCACACTACCTCACACAACTGAGCACTTTCTTAGAAGTCATCTTGATTCCATCATTGGTCTAGTCAGGGTTTCTCAATGTCAGCCTGATCAATACCCTGGGTGGGGTAACTGTTGTGAGGGCTGTCCTGGCCTCTGCCCCTAGAAGCCATATCCTATATCCTGCCCCCACGATTTCTGTCTCTGGGAACTGCCAAGTGTCCCCCGGGCAGCAAAATCATCCCCAGCTGAGAATCACAATGACTAGACCAGAAGACTTTGCCCTGGATGGCCAACACCGCTGAGCAGCTGCCCAAAGCTTGGTCAGAGGGGCCTGATTGGAAATTGAATAGAATACAAAGAGCTGACTCGGCAGATTAAGTTTTTAAAACTTAATGACTGATAGAGATAATACCCCTTAAGAGTCCCTATACTTCTCTATCCAAACTAGAATTATGTAAAATCAGAAGCAAAGCTAAAATCTGTGCTTCCTAAAACACCTGAATGCTGGAATTTTTTTTTTCCAGGCATGATTATCAACTAAGGAAAGAGTCTCTCCTGCAAATTCAGATATACTAATTACCGATCAAAAGACTAAACTGAGTAAATCCACATGAGGTGAGAAAATGAAAATAGAACGTACAATTCTATTAAATTAGAAGCAATTTTAGAGAATTTTATTTAACTGTCAATTTATCACCAACATCTAACATTTTATAGTTCAGGTACATTTGGGTAAGAACATTAGGAAGAAAATGTAAATTAAATACTATGAAAGTATGCTTTTAATGAAACGTGGTCTCAGTAAAATATGGACATAGAAGTTTAGTGGTTTTATTGCATTGTTAGAAAATATTATGAAAGATACAAAAAAAATCAATGTTTTTCTGTTTCTTTTATAATCAGTATGCCACCTTTTACCATTATGGCTTTAAGTTTTCATTCTACCCAATAAGTTTCAAAGAATAGTTTATTACATGCCTTAATAAAACATTTAAAATATTTACAAATTCAAAATAGATGTTTTATAACTGAAAAAAGTTCACCTGAGAATTCACTGTAACGTTGCCATTGTTTTCCCCAAGTTGTTAATGTGGCTGAGTGTCCACATGCAACCTGTATCGTCTACTGCATCTAACATACTTAATTCCTTATTTAAAATTCGTTAAGCAGTAAGCTATAGCAAACTGTTAAAAAAAAATTACAGATGGAGAACCAAGACTGTATCTACATTTGTTCTGAATATGACAATTTAACAAATTATTTGCTATAGTTCCAGAATGAGTAAGAAAAAAAAAATAAGGTAATGTTATTTTACTGAATTCAACATAACAGCTTTTTAAAAAAATCATCACGCATTGAGAAGGCCGGTTCATAAAATAGTGAACAATGATCATGTGAATATGCAATATACAAACTGAAAACATTTCAAACTTCTGCATGAAGGAAAAGGCATACACTGTATACTCATAATCCTGTCATTTGTCTTCGGCAGCCTCAAAAAAAATATTGCCTTGAAACATTTTCTTAGAAAAAACTTCTTTAGAAGTTAATGTTAAAATAGGCATAAATGTGTAATGCTATGCAATATACAGAAAACTTCCCCACTTATGGCCAAAAGACAAAGATAAAATCTTTTTTATCTGTCCATCTGCATTACAACTTGAAAATCATGTAGATATGAGGTAGTGTAGTTACTTGTATTACATGCTGGCTATTTAAAGTAATGCTAAATTTTAAGAAATTACACTTGGCCAATAATTATATGTCATTAATAGAAACCCTTAATGCTAAACTGTTCATAGGTAGAGAGAAATTTAAACCAAGTGCTTTACAAATTATATTTAAGCTCTGGAGACAACTACGTTTTATCATAAAATAGTAATCTTTCAAAGCAAGTACAGTAGCAATTAAAGCAAAAGATTATTTGACATTTGCACATACACAAACTGATACGACCAATAGTTGAGTGTACACTGAGGTAGGAAATCAAGGGTTCCATTGGCTTAAGATTTTACATTTTGTAAACCACAAGTTCTTACATTATTTTATATTGTGAAGTTGAAATTTAAAATTACAAGTATCAAAGAAATACCTATATGGGGAGAATATATGTATGTATACACACACACATATACACACACACACACACACACACACAAATTCTTTTGCAGTATGGGACGCATTATTAGAATTATTCTCCCTGACAAATTCTTGAGTGTACTTATAAAAGCTACTAGAAAATAAACAAGTCCAACTAATTTTCTCTTACAAATAAGTCAATAACAGAGATAACATACAAACTACTGAAAATATACTAGCAATATCCTCCCCCTACATCCTGATCAAAAAGGGTAACATTTGACAAATTACTCCAAGACATGAAGACTGGTCCCCATATACTCTCACAGGCAAGGCCAACTTGCTTCAGATTTCATACCCAGTGGGTGGTGGTTGCCCACATTAGCTAGACAAGCCCTGCACTAGGCTCAGGATGCAGTCCATAGAAGTGTCTCTTTCAGTCCTCTGATTTCGGTGAAATCAACACTATAAACTACTCCTCTGCACCATTAAAACTGGGTTCTGCCAACGTTTCTGTGAATGTGAATATATGCATTTTTTTTAATTGCTGAGAAGATCCATAGCTTTCATTTGACTCTCAAACAAATCTAACTCCAACATGACTAAAAGTCACTGCAAAATGTTTTGCGATAGGTGCTCAATTATCTATTTTGTAACAGGACTGAACAAACACTAAGACTGATCTTTAAATGCCCAAGTTAAAATGATTTGTGTGTCTTTATACCACACCAAATTTGGGGAGGAGAGCAAGGATTAAACCTGGTTTTCAAATGCAAACCCACAATAGGAAAAGATTGAGTTCATCCTATTTCACAAACCTGCAGAGTTGCTGCAAATACATTTTTATCTGTAACAATGCTTTTTACAAGTGAACCATACGACTTCAAAAACAGGATGAAAAAATGAACTGCACTCCTGGTAAAACGTAAGCAATATTCTTTCCCCGTGATGTCTGCTTTTCCGGCACTGGTCACCCATGGTGGCAAAGTGGACAGCTTCACATGTTGGTAAGCTCTCCAGATTCTAGGGAGCCTGAGATAGTGCTGCCAGTATGATCACTCATGCCACTGTATTCTGAGTCCTAGTTCTTCTTCCAAAGGGACAAGAACGCCAGGAAACAGGAAGTCCATGATGGGACCAGATACGGTAAAGACTGAAGAGGGGGGAAAAAAAGAGGGAAAGTGACACTTAATCTGTTTATGCAGCCAGACTTTCTAGAGTCCATACTGAAGAGAAGAAGCCCCCATCTTAGGCCAACCACTTGCCTGTTTATGAAATCTTCCCAATGTAGCTTAAAACCTGATTTTAGGAGCCAAAGAGCAAAGCCCTAAGATTCAGGTAAGACCATCTATTTTTCACAATGCAGCTCTACAAAAATATTCCCAGTAGCTGACACCCTGTTTCAGCTGAGAACAGAACTCTATTAGCATTGCTTGGGCAGAAATTTTCTTTCAATCTAAAATATTACAAAAATGTCAAATTATTAAACTTCTGCAGGCCACTTCTTTTAGTAGGAACTATCTGTAGACGTTTCAAGCTGTTAAATTGCTGTCTGATATGCTGCAGTTTTCATTCTCCTACTTGTTCTGAATAGCAAGAAGAGTTATTACTAGAGTTATTATTCTGTAAAACATGAGTTTTAAAGGTTTACTACATTTTCACATGGATTTTTCTGATATCCAGGAGGCAAAATCGTTTCTTTGTCTCTTGCGGAAATCAAGGAGAAATCATGGTTGACTTAAGAGAAATTCCCTTATGGCAAACTACTAAAGGGAAAAACAATATTGTTAAGCAACAGATGGTCATATTAGGCTTTCAAGACACTGCCAAAACTTCAGTAGAAAATTAGATGGTTTGAAGGAAGTGAATGCAAGTTTACTCATCAGTAGTACATTTATCAGTCATCTGCTGACAGAAGTCTGAGATTCCACCACTCTGACGACACTGTTCCGCAGGCCCGGCTTGCTCAGAGGTGGCTGTGGATGTCTGCTGGGACTCCTGCCCCCGCGTGTAGCCGGACTCACTGTTTCCTCTGGCACAAGGAGGCAGCACTGCTGGAGGCCCGTCAGATAAACTGAAAATTGATGGTAAGGCCAGTTCACCATCAGGAGTACTTTTATCTTTTTCAGAAATTAAAAATGAAAGTGGGCAATCTGAAGCTGAGTACTTGGCGAGTATCTGTATTTGTTCTTGACTCAGAGCTGCTTCTTTACAAACTTTCTGGCAAAGTCCAGTTAGGTTCTGCTTTGTCTCGCCCAGAGTTGACAAAATGTGATCTCTTTCCTTCAACAAGCTCTCCTTTTCATTTTGCTGTGAAGTGGGGAAAGAGAACACAATGGCTTGTGTTTATTAGCTCAATCAACATTTCCAAGGTGATCAAATAATATACAGTGTCTTCTCATCAAATAAGATCACATGGAGTTTATCCTTTCAATTCCATTCAATTACACATTAAATACTAAAGGCCCAGAATGTCCCATCCAAAACTCTTGGGGCGGATGTATTTTGGCATAAAGCATTTTTCAGGTTTTAGAAAGATAGTATATATGGGTGCACACATAATTTCTCTAGCAGGTCTGGGGCAGCACTTCACTATCAACTATCTTTACATTTCTAAGTAAAACATAAAATAGCAAATAAGAAAGTAGGATAAAGACTATGCATTCTAATGTCAATTTGGGGCAGTTTTTTGGTCAAAAGAGTCTGTGACAAACTTATATGGTTTTCGGAGCTTTCTGGATTTACAGACTGTACATAACAGGTATGGATGACATTTTGGATGAGATACAACAAGAAAAAAGTAAAAGTACAGTTAGCATAACTTAACTACTGAGACTCAAAAGCATTGCAAGATTCAACTAATGATCAGCATTTGTTGAGCAGATACTCTGTGCCAGATATTGTGCTAAATGTTTTCCAACATGCAATCTCAGCTATGTAATCCACACAACACCTCTCCTGACTTAAGCACATCAAACCCACTGAAGGGATGGGACTGAGTTTAACATGCCTAGAGACAGCTGCTGGGTGAGTTACTAAAGTGTGGAGAATTCGAGGGGGAATTTTGTGTTTGCTAATTACTATTTTTGTTATTGTTATAATCTTATTACCCCTATAAGAAAGTCTACCACAGAATTTTTCAAAAGTTTTTCTGGGTCCTGCCTTGCTGTCCATGTCACTTATCAATGCTGATAGCACGTCTTTTCTATTATCGTCCCATCTCATCCTTCTTGTTCTAACATTTTATTGCTTCTAATCTATTATGAGCCAGGAAACCAAATAATCAAGGTATTTATAAGAAAAGAGTAAACAAACACTTGCTAGAAAGTCAAAGGTTTTTCTTGTGAAAATTATCACAACTCTCAACAAGTCAGTCTTGTTCTGCTTGCTTTCTGCTCATTGGAGGGTTCTGGAGAGTTGAGCCTGCCAGTTAACCTTGAGACAAGTTAGTTCATAGTGCTAATCTAGAAGTGCCATCCTTTAATTTTGTATGCACAAAAGTCACTAAAAGAGTAAAATGAATTTTGCTTTATACAAAAGTACTGTTATGGTTTTATACAAAAGTATTACTACAAAATTATGTATGAATCCAATTATTGTTAGTTCTAAAATATTTTAAAGCCATGTAATATTTTGAGAAAATATACAATAAATACAAAATACTAAATTTTTATATGGCAAAGTATTCTCCAATCTGCTCAGATTTTTATATACAAGTTCTTTTTTTTTTTTCTTTTTTAAATAGATGTAGGCCAAGAAAGAGTGTGTTAAGTATATGTAACCAAAATCAATGTTCGGCCGGTACATTTTCTCTTATGCAAAGTTTATCAGTTGCACTCTTCTGATAAAATGAGTCTGCAGATACCGGAAGGGCAAGAATGGCACCTACTGCTTGTTCACAGAAGGAACCATTAAATGCAATCAACACCCATTTCTTTTTATGGTCTCCTGGAAGCCAATCCAAAGGAGGATGGAAATAAAGCTTCCAGTAGAAAGTGAGAAATAATCTTTTTTCAGTCACAGCAACATTCAGCCACGGATTCCTCTACCAAAGTGGGGATGAATCTATTCTAAACAGCAATAGAAAAATTTCAACTGCTGGTTGGTCTTTTAAATTAAATATGGTTAAACAAAATAAGGATTACTTGAGCTTCCTCCCAGAAATCAGAACCACTACTTAACCTACAGATACTATGATTACAAATATTTTATGACTTCTGTATCTTAATATCCACATGATCTTTAAATACTCTCACTCCTCCCACCCCACTAAATTAGGGATGACATCATTCTTTAAGTACACAAGATGGCTTGCTTCTTCACAACTACAACAAATAGGTACAACCCTAGAACTCCATCAGAATTATTTCTATAAATTAAATGTTCCCATCTGTTCCCCTGTACTTTAACTCCCACACAGCTAAGCTTCTAAGCAGTTAGCTAATGTTTCCATTTCATTCTAAGTTTAAAACACATCTCTACTATAATAGCAGTCAGCTTAATAACTAAAAGTAAAATACAAGTAATTCAAGTTAATCACTTAATGACATCAGTATTTAAGATATCTCCGAAAGTCACTACTTATAGTCATGAGTGGGAGTCACTATTGGCATCCTGCTACCTATTCCTACAATATATTTCCATTTTCCTATAAAAACAACTGTATAAATCATGTTTGAAGTGCTGCACCTTTAATTACAGAACTTTTTTTTTAAAAAGGAATAAAATTGGCATTCTGGTGCCATTCTGGATTTTATATCAACCAAAAACCTTTAGTAGGCTGGGCACAGTGGCTCACGCCTGTGAGGCTGAGGTGGGCAGATCATGTGAGGTCAGGAGATTGAGACCAGCCTGGCCAACATCGTGAAACCCTGTCTCTAATAAAAATACAAAAAAAATAGCTGGCGTGGTGGCACACACCTGTAATCCTAGCTACAAGGGCAGGCTGAGGCAGGGGAATCACTTGAACCTGGAAGATGGAGGTTGCGGTGAGCCAAGATTGCACCATTGCACTTCAGCCTGGGTGACAGAGCAAGACCCTGTCTCAAAAAAAAACAAAAAAACAAACCAAAAAAAACCTTTATCTCTAAATCCTTATTTTGAATAGCTAGTGGACAATATTTATTCAAATATAATTTTTTAAAGATTATAAATACAACTCACCCAATAAAGATATGGAATAGAAGAATTTGGCACCAAAAGAATGAGTGACAATTTTATGATAGGGTAAAGAGTACTCACTGTTAGAAAATGGTCACTAATAGTTCCTTAGTAAAACCTCTGAATAGACAGTTCAGAGAAATCTACAAATGGCACTGACAAATATAAGCAAAAATGCTCATTTTCACTCATAAGATAAAAATAAAAGCTACCACGAGATATCATGGTATCTCACTATCAGACTGGAAAAAAACCCAAAAGCTGACAACAAATCTTGACTGAGGGTGTGGACAGACGGACACACATATACTGCTGATGGAAGGCCAAATATTACAGTTCCTATGGAGGAGAATCTGTTAATATCTAATAAAATTATGTATGTATTTACCCTTGATAGAACAATCCCATTTCTAGGAATGTGTCCTAGAGACACAGCTCCTTAAACATGAAACAACAGTATACAGTTATTCACTGCAGGATCCCAAATGTCCACCCACAGAAGACTGGTTTGAATTGTATTACAGCCACAACTGAGTACTATGGAGCTGGAAAACGAATGAAAAAATATTTCCTAGAAATCAATTCTTAAGTTTAAATAGTAAAGTACAGAACAATGGATATAAAATACTTCTATGCAGCAGGATGGATAATAAAAGTAGACATAAAATGTTAATATGCTTTTAGAAAAGAAATACAGGGGAAAAAAAATCCAGAAACTAATGAAAGTGGTTACCTGCAGGAAGCAGCTATGAATAGGATATAAGGAGAAGATGAGATCAAGATTTGGAATATATATTTTTTAAAACATAGTTTTAACTTTTGAGCCATATAAACGTTTTACATTCAAAAATAAATAAAAAATGTAGGCCAGGCATGGTGGCTCATGCCTAAAATCTCAGCACTTCGGGAGGCCAAGGCAGGAGGATCGCTTGAGCCCAGGAGTTTTGAGCAACACAGTGAAACCTCATCTTGACAAAAAACAAAACAATTACCCGGCATGATGGTGCGCACCTGTAGTCCTGGCCATTAAGAAGGCTGACGTGAGATGATCACTTGATCCCAGAAGTCAAGGCTGCAGTGAGTCATTAATTGTGCCACTGCACTCCAGCCTGGGTGACAGAGTGAAACCCTGTCTCGAAAAATGTAGAGGAAATCCCAGTAATATAAATAGAAAAAAAATTAATTGTATATCAAATTGGTAACACAAATATTTCAAATAACTTTAAAGCTTCACACTGGGAAACATGTAAGCACAAAAAAAGGCAAATCTCAAATTCTGCTCAATCTGTTTACTGTTAACAGTAATACTGATTGTAACTTTTTTTACTTTTTATACAGTGTGCCTTCACTTAAAATCATTGACAGGTTCTTGGAAACTGACTTTAAGAGAAACAACCTACAGCAGGTCCTCAAACATTTTGTTCAACAGCCTTTATTTTTTATTATACTTTAAGTTCTAGGGTACATGTGCACAAGGTCCAAGTTTGTTACATATGTATACATGTGCCATGTTGGTGTGCTGCACCCATTAACTTGTCATTTTTTTTTTCTTTTTTTTTGAGATGTAGTTTCGCTCTTGTAGCCCAGGTTGGAGTGCAATGAATGGCATGATCTCAGCTCACTGCAACCTCCACCTCCTGAGTTCAAGCGATTCTCCTGCCGCAGCCTCCTGAGTAGCTGGGATTATAGGCTTACGCCACCATGCCCGGCTAATTTTTGTATTTTTAGTAGAGATGGGGTTTCACCATGTTGGCCAGGCTAGCCTTAAACTCCTGACCTAGGGCGATCCACCCGCCTCGGCCTCCCAAAGTGCTGGGATTACAGGCGTGAGCCACAGCGCCCAGCACCCGTCATTTACATTAGGTATATCTCCTAATGCTATCCCTCCCCCTCCCCTCACCCCACAACAGGCCCCAGTGTGTGATGTTCCCCACCCTGTGTCCAAGTGTTCTTTGTTCAACATCCTTTCATTATAAAGTTGATGAGGAAAAAAACTGGTTTTATTATCCATCATTTCATGTTAAGTGAAAACTTACTGTATATTATAGAATAAAGGAAACAATACGGAGCCGAAATTTTCCCTGTAAGTGATGAGAGATTAAACATAAACATATAAAAGAAGTGAAGACAAAAGCTCTATACTGTTAAAT